TGATAATAAGTAAAAGAATAAGGGCGTAAGACTGGAGGCTGAAGGCATCTACTTTGATGATGTAGTATTTTAGAATGTCTTGGTCTTTAGTGTACATAAGCTGCTCTGCCTTATGGTGTTCTAACATTTTATTGATGACCCATTTTATTTCTTGTTTCTTGATTACAGTGTTGTGGAGAGTATTTACCATATACTTCTTCTTCTTCTTTTTATATAGACATGACTCTGTCTGTTTTTCAATGTGCCTCCAGTAAGTTGTCATTCCATTGTTTTCGTGGTCTTCCTACTGATCGTCTTCCTATTGGGAAACCGTCTCTTGCCGTCTTTACTACTCTATTGTGATTTGGCTTATATGATCGTTCCATTCTACTATTCTATTTCTTACCCAGTTCTTGGATGTTCTCCACCTTGCATCTATGTCGTTTATCTATACTTCTAGCTCTGTCCCATAGTGTCTTACCATCAATTTTTGTAAGTATTTTCATTTCTGCTGTTTATAACATCCTTTTTGTCCACTCTGTGTCAGGTCTTGTTTCTGCCGAGTATGTCATTATTGGTCTGATGACTGTTTTGTAAATTCCGCCTTTCTCCCAGGAGGCCAAGAAATGGATAATTTTCGATCGTTTCGATTTTCGCTGGGAATTATTATATTTCTTCTTGTGTGACTATGTGTCCTAGAAAATTAACTTCCTTTTATCGACTTGGATTTTTAATCATCAAGCTTCTCTTAGTCGTTGAAATACCTTTGTGAAATTTATAATGTGTTTTTGCGTAATGTTGAATACACGATTACGTCGTCCATGTAGACGAGATATCTCTCCTTGCAGTCCTTTTAATAAGTTTTCCGTCGTGTATTGGAACGTGGATAGAGCGTTCTTAAGACTAAATGGCATTCTTACATATTAATAGTGTCCATTTTCCACATTAAATACTGTTTTGGGATGTTTTTTTCGGCTGTTTCAATTTGGTGAAATCCTCTTGTTAAGTCGAGGGTGGTAAATGCTGACATCATCTCAATTTGTCAAGTATATCGTTAATACGAGGAATCTTGTCTTGTTTTCTCGTTGACCTTTCTATAATCTACCACTATCCTCCACTTTATTTTACCAGAAGAATCTGGTTTTTTTGGCACAATCCATATGGGTGGCGACCATGATGATTGGCTTGGTCTAAACATGCCTTGATCCAACAATGAAGATATTTGTTTCTTTACTTCTTCTTTGTGTACATTGTAGCATTTCGTTTAAAACCGTATATCATAACATTCAATCTGAGATTGGCAATATAAACATTTTTGAGTCTGTTTATAATAATTACAATGTCTCTTTCGATTGATCTGGATTCCGTCTAGATATTTACGCTGGAAGTAAACAATAATCTTTCCGCTGACGTGGACAAGAGAATAATCAGCCAGCGAAACGAGTAGTTTTGTTAAATTTTCTAAATAAACGTTCATCGTTAATACAAAGAGATTTGCTCTCATATCAATTTAAAAAGTTTATAAATAAATGTTTTATGTATCAGCTAATTGTCATATTATTATTTTAGTTTTCTTTTAAATAAAATTAACCTTTGATAATTAATTAATAATTCAGAAAAGTTGATTAGTTTCATTTCGACATATGACAGTTAGTACAACTTTTCTGCCATTTGGCACATAACCTTAGTTTTAAGGTATGTTTTATTATTAAAAGATTTAATGTAAGATTTGTTGATAACTTATTTATATGTTCTTTGTAATAACTGTTTATGTACAATAAAAATAAATATCTACGTAATGTTTCTCTTGAAACTTTGAGTTTAAAATTATTTCTTTTAAAAAGATATTCGCCCTTAAAATTTTTTAGGAAGGAAAAGCCTTTCTTTCTAAACAGCAAGAGAATTTTTTTAAACGGCGTCCTATTTTAAATAGTTTAGCAATCTTCTTTAGTGTTGCCCAGGACATCTCTGTAAGTATTTTTTGATTTCTTTTTCGTAGTTAGTTTCTCCCAGTCCCCCCACCCGAAATAAAGGAATTTTTATCCACGACATAGCTCTCCAACCAAAACATGAGTAGCTGTTCGCAAACGTTTCACTTTTTTTGCTTACCCTGTATCCAAGCCCAGTGATTGTTCAGTTCCCCCTTTCAAATATGCAATTCCCTATATGTAAATTAAAAGTTGTTACAACATATGGATACCGGTATGATTTCGTATATACTGGCTCTGTATTTTTATGGTGTTTAAATTCGTTGCTAAAGCTGAGAGGAGTGTCTTGTTAGAGGTAAAATATATCAGAGAATTTTCGGCACATGCGGCGAACTTGATCCTCTTCTTCTCGGTTAAGATGGTCGGTTGTATTCAAGTCATGGATGTCTTGCCTGTATTCTGGTCCAGATGGTGGTTCCATGGAATATACGAGTCCCTTCCCATATCAGTTAGCCCACTTGTTGAATTTGAAATAAGTCGATTACCAAATTGAACCACCAGTTAGAAGAAGGGAATGAATCCAAAAAGTAGATTTTCGGGAAATCAATAAAAACTGTAAAAACACTGAAATAATTCATTTATTTTTTACAATTATTCAAAGTAATTTTTCAATTAATCTTGAGCACGCCCATGGAGTGGTCGGAGGTACCAGTTAAAATTATGCTAATTACTCTCTCGTTCATAAAAATAAACTATAGTAAACAAATAACTATATTATTTTGAATGTAAACAAATTTCGAAATTTGGGGATAATACAATTCATTTCATACATTTCATTTCTTAACTATTCTTAATTTAATACGATATAAAACTTTTGTTTGTCTATACGATTTTTAAATTAGTTTTGTATAAACACTCCTCATGGTAATGTAAACATGAAATGGTATTTTGATATCCTTTTGGAGTGACGTGACTTTTAATGTTTTTTTTGTTCGTTACTAAGAGGTAATAAAGTATAGTTTTGTTGTAAACTTTCTATAAATCTTATTTTTTTCTTTTCTCGTCCCCTTCGTTAAACCATGGGTGGCGTCCAATAATAAATTATAATTTCATATTATCTAATTGTGCTTGGATTTAAGATATGACACAGTTTCTATATGTTTGAAAGAACCCCCCTAACTTTCTCCGACAATGAGCGATTCTGACCTTGAATTTAATTTGTGTGCCAAATGCTTATTAAGCATGTACGCCACAGTACTGGCTCTTTGAATAGCATACGCTTTCTACATTTAAGTGACAAATTCGGATTATAGGTCCGAGTTTTCTAGTCATTGGTTCCTGAGGAGGACCATTTATATTATTGTTAATTTGCCTTCTGATATAGTTTAATGGCATTGTTTGCAATGTGTCTCTGGTCGGGAGATCCAGAGATCATCTGACCGCCAGTATTTGCTAGTTAATTTAGTGTTACCCAGGGTGCACGTGTAATATTCTACGGACGCGAACTAGCTATACACCCTCTCGTCCAGGGTTGGACAAAAAAATGTTTTTTTAAAAAACAACTAAAAACATGTTTTTTTTATTTAAAAACAATGTTTTTTGTTTTAAAACAGTTTTTTGTTCATCTAAAAAAACACTGTTTTAAAACAAAAAAACACTTTTAAAACAAAAAAAACGTTTTAAAATAATTACGTACTTCACTGGATTTCTATAGGGGATTCCCATAAACCTCAACTGCCACACATATGGGCTTTGGATAAATGCCAGAGAAATACCTGCACCATAGCAGATGCAACAGACATTTGGAAGGACTTACTGGGTTATTTCCAAAGTGAAAGTGAAGCTCAATCTAACGGTTGTAGCAACGTGTTGGAACTTCATAAAGCAGAAGCACGTTTTCAACTGGCTATATCAGATGCGCATTATTTAGCTTATTTATTAGACCCTCAGTGCTTAGGTCAGAAACTCTCTGAGGTGGAAGTTGATAGAGCATTGTTATTTATTTCGGATTTTCACCCAAATGTAATGCCCGAAATACTGTCATTTCGTGCCTTAGCACCGCCATTTAATAAAGAATATTTGTTTGCAAAAAATACAGTAGACAATTTAAGTTCTTTAACATGGTGGCTATCTCAAAAACAGTTTATTTCATCGGAGTTGTTGCAGCTGACAACTCAATTATTTTCAGCAGTTGCATCCTGTGCTGGAGTGGAGAGGCTATTTTCATCATATGGTCTAGTTCACTCGAAATTGAGGAATAGGTTAGGAATTGACAAAGCTGCTAAGCTAGTAACAATATTTCAACATTTAAATAAAAATGTTTAAGGTTACATTATTAACCGTAAAAGCTCTATATTTATAGTTTTTATTTTTTTAAGGAACATTCATTGTTATTTTTATTTTTTGTATCACATATCAGTTGCAGGATGTAGGACTGTGTAATAGATGCTGTTGTAATTCAATAATTATTTACTTAATTTTCTTTTTCTTTTAACTTTATTAGGAGTATTGGTTTAGTTAATGTTACTACAGCACTGTCGTAACAGTACTAGTATGCTTGCTACCTGAACATAAATAAAGTTTAGTCAGTTACTTTTTTTGAGTTTTACTTTTTACTTAGCATTAATATTGTTATTGCACCTACTTACTCTATAATCTATGTTTGCAATTTTGCAAATTAGCAAACACAAATGTCTTATAACAAATGTTAATAAACAAAATAATAATAAACAATAACGAAAAAAAACTATGTTTTAAAACAATGTTTTAAAACGGTGTTTTAAAATGCAACTGTTTTTTTTTCAGTGTTTTTAAACATGTTTTAAAACGTTGTTTTAAAAAGCTTGTTTTAAAACAGCCCAACCCTGCCTCTCGTAAAATGAACGATTGACATAACACAGGGGTCTTTTCAAATATAGTGTAATTTGTTGAACCAATATATAAAACACGAATGCCTAATTATTAATTATTACAATCTGTAAGACCTAAACAAACATGTTTTCTCAATGCCCTGTAGATATAATTTATGGAATCATACATGATTAATTTTTATTTAATTGCATTATTTTGATTAACAGGTAATTATAATTTTAGGTCTCTCGTGTAAAGAAATAACAACTGATGTCAGTACCTTTATACCAGATTATGATAGAAGTGACTGTAATTTGAACCAATGTATAACTTCCACTAGCAATGGAGGACAACGTTTTATATGTATCATTTGCAAGAAACAATTAGCAAACAATTATAATTTAAAAGTACATATGAGGTTACACACTGGAGAAAAACCTTTTGCGTGTGAAATTTGCGCCAAACAGTTTTCAATGAAGAAAATTTTAATGTCGCATTTTACAGTGCATACCAATGAAAAACCATTTGAATGTGAAATTTGCAACAAACAGTTTTCAACGAAAGGTATTTTGAAAATGCACATGAGAGTGCATACTGGTGAAAAATCATTTAAATGTGAAATATGCACCAAACAATTTTCAAGAAAGCAAAATTTACAATCACATGTGACCGTGCATACTATCGAGAAACCATTTGAATGTCAAATTTGCACCAAACGGTTTTCAACAAAGGATAATTTAAGAAAACATTTGACCGTGCACAGTGATGAAAAACCCTTTGAATGTAAAATTTGCACCAAACCGTTTTCAACGAAGAAACTTTTAAAATCACATATGGGAGTGCATAGTGTTGAAAAACCTTTCAAATGCAAAGAATGCGCCAAAACGTTTTCACACAAATTGAGCTTAAAATTTCACATGAACTCGCACACTGGAGAGAGATCCTTCATATGTAAAGTCTGCAACAAACAATATTCACGAAATGAATATTTGAAAGAACATATGAGGGTGCATACTGGTGAAAAACCATTTGAATGTGAAATTTGCACCAAACAGTTTTTACTCAAGAACAGTTTAAAAAGACATATGAAAGTGCATACTGGTGAACAACCACTTGAATGAAATTTGCACCAAACAGTTTTCAATAAAGAAGCTTTTAAAATTGCATATCGTGGACTTACTGCAAAAATCTGTTAAGTCCATGTTTCGTCTTTCATTTTTCGGGTCATTCCTTAAAGTAGGGAATTTTACACTTCAAAGGAGTGGTAACGCGCTATCTAGCCTTCAAGCGAAAGTGAAGCCGATTTTAACCGGTCCGCCATTCGTTTGGTGCTCATTTTCGGATTGACACAACTCGTTTTGTTAATTATTTTTGTGTGATTTCTGAGTGAAAAGTAGCATTTTTTTTAACTCTAAAATGATGATGTGTTCGGCTTACGGTTGTAAAAGCAACAACAGAAAGAATTTAATGAAGCGAGAGTTACATTTCACAGGTAAATAAATATTTTTATGAGTGCGTAGATGAAAATACACTAAATACTCCTTTATTCTTACATATTGCCTTTTAAGCAATTATTTATTAAAAAAAACACTTACCTAATTACATAGCTAAAATCACATGATTTAGTTATAAACTTCGAAAATTTCACAAGTAAACTTAAAAGTAACATAAAAGAGCACCATTTTACCAGTGGTGCATGATGAAATTAATTTAGAATGGGATTTATAATATTTCAACTACGAAAATGAAATTAATTACATTTACTTTTAATATAGGTTTCCAACAGACACACCAAAAAGAAGTCTTTGAATTGAAAATATCAAAAATTAAAAACTTTATACCCACTAAAAACCATAGGATTTGCTCGAACATTTTGAAAATAATTTATTTTATGGAACTACGACAGGGAAAGTGAAATTGTTACACCGAGCAGTACCAACTATATTTCTTGATTTGCCAAAATGAGGACTTCGAAAGGTATTATTCTAAATCATTTTCATGTTGTTTAAAAAATAACTTTACATTGAGTCCATTAGTGATGTGCTTAGAGGTTATTTTTAAATAACCGTTATAACCGTGGAAGTGATTTTTGGATAACTGTTATTTTAAATAGTTCAAAAAAAGGTATTCAAGTCAAAGTCTAAGCAAGTAATATTTATATAAAGGTCCCAATATTGCCACCTCTATGTAAAGAACTGGCAGGACGGAAAATAGGCAAAAAAATTAAATATTCTTCTGCATTAAGACAATTTGCGGTAACTTTAAATTTTTTTTCTCCAAAGGGGTATAATTATGTGAGAGAAAAATTTCAAACTTGTCTTCCACATCCTTCAACAATATCCAAATGGTTCAGAAATGTTAACGAAGAACCTGAGTTCACAAAATAATCTCTTGAAATTAAAAAAAATATATAATGAGAAGTCACAAAGTCCTCATTGCTATCTCTTATAATGGACGAAATGTCAATAAGAAAAAATGTAGAATGGAACGGAGCAAAATTTCGTGGGTATGTAGATGTTGGAAACGATTTGCAAAATGATAACAATGACATAGCCAAAGAGGCTTTTGTTTTTAGGGCGAATTGTGTACCCAATTGGAATTGGGTATTTTTTATAAACGGGTTAAAAAAAGCTAATGTTGTTAATCAATTTATGTAGTTGATTGAAACAGAAACAGGGGCTCACGTAACATCATTAACATTTGACGGGGCAACAGCAAATGTTGCAATGACGCATATTCTGGGATGCGGCAGGAAATAAAACCCTTTTTTTCAATACAAAATAAAAAATATTTGATATTTTATGACCCTTGTCATATGCATAAATTAATTAGGAACACTTTTGGAGATAAACGTCATACAATAATCGATGCAGATGGAAATTCTATAAATTGGAATTATATAGAATATCTTCAAGACTTACAAGAACACGGGGGTTTACATTTGGCTAATAATCTTCGTAAAAATCATGTTAATTTTTTTAGTCAAAAAATGAAAGTGCGTCTAGCGGTTCAACTTTTAAGTGTATCTGTTGCCGACTCTCTTATTGTTTAAATGAATTAAAGTTAAAGGTATTTTCCGGTTGTGAAGCTACTATAACATTTATATAAATTACAAATATGTAATGTTTTTGATATTTTAAACAGTCGTTAAGTAAGAGCAAAACACTTGAAGAAAGCATTATGTGATAGCAATAGAGAAAAAACAAAAAAGTTTGTACAAGAGGCTATTACTTACTTCTCAAATCTTAAATTTGATAATGGACAGTTAGTAACCGATTCGGGTGAAAAAAACTGGATTTTTGGTAGTTCTCGTCTCATTAAAAAGTGATCTTGGGTTGTACGAGGACATTGTCCAGAAAAAAATTATTACATTACCTGTCTTTGTACAAAGTTAGTCAATATCATGTTGAACTTTTTTTTCTAGTATAAGATCAAAAGGGAGATGAAATAATAATCCGACTGCCAGACAATTCACTGCTGCTTATAAAAGGTTGTTAGTGCGTAGTGAAATTCGATCTTATAGGCTAGAATAAGGCCCCCTGGGGCCCTATTCTTGAATCGAGAGAAAATTTTACTCCCCACTAAGCTAACTCGCTTTTCTACTCCATCATAATTTCTCTCGATTTTAAAAAGCTGTATTCTTGAATATGGGGAGTAGAAAGGAATGAGAGAAACCATGGCCTGAAATCTTATATGAATAACCTTGAACATTTCCCCCATCACTTTGACTCCAGTCGGTTAATAAAGAGAGATGACAGCCTATCTCGCTCACGAAGACTTTAACCAATCATTTTATTTTAACACCATCTCTGAATGCCACAAATAAAATAATCAAACGAAGCTTAATTCCGTCAAAAGTAATGACAAGTTGATGATTGATATTTGTCAGAGATATGTAAGAGACTCTCTTACATATCTCTGATATTTGTACATTTTCGACTTTCGTCTTCCACGTGTATTGGCTTGTTTACAGTTTTTATTTTTAATTTAATTATCTTTAACTTTCGTTTGTATTTAGTCTTAGTAATTTAAGTTGGTTCCTTAGTTTTTAAAGTTTAGTTAGTTGATACCTTAGTTTTCATTTTTAATTTAATTATCTTTAACTTTCGTTTGTGATTTAATCTTAGTAATTTTAATTTAAGTTGGTTCCTTAGTTTTTAAAGTTCGGTTAGTTGATTCTTTATTTTTTTCAGTTTAGTTTTATTTGATTCCTTAGTTTTTAAAGTTTAGTTATAGTTCCTATAAATAAAGATTTTCGTCTCCCTACAAAACTTGTGAAAAAGCAGATAGGTATTGTCACATCACTCACGATATATGAGATTATTCCATTGGAAAATAATAAAATATTTTGAATTTCCCACTAAATTTTAATTAGTACCGAAATGACCCACCAGAGGCGCTAAAGGGATAAAATTAATACTTAACCATTTGAATTTCCCGCCAAATGGTGATTAGTATTGACTCCACTCACCAGTGGTGCTAATAAACCAAATTTATATATAGAGTTGCCTATCTATCTGTATATACTATATTATTTATCTATGAGAGAAACTATGAACAGTGTTGCCGGGTTTTCAATGAAAATTTTAACCAATCACAAAAGTTAATTATTGACAAAGGACAAGATACTGTCAACCGTCAACCTGATCACTCCCCTTAGTGGTGGGCAGAGATATGTTAGAGAGGGGATATGACATACCGTGAAATAAATGGGATCGGTTCGGCCCTGGTGGTGGGCCAACCTGCGATTTTTGTGTAGCTGTGACAAAATGTGACTGCTCCAGTATTGTCACGGTGACAAAAAGCAGTGATTTTTTGGAGCAGTTTAATCTTAACTGCTACTATTGCTACCTTTGAATATTCCAAAATATATTTTAAAATTTGTAAAAATTTTCTATCTGACAAAAGAAATGGGTCCGTTGGTTGGAGGACATCCCGGCCAATTTGAAGATCTTCAATTGCCTCCAAAACATCATTAAACATAATATAATTCCAGTAGAGCATATGATTGATATCCATCTTTTATTAACTTCCGCTTTTTAAAAAACAAAATACTTCCCTAGGTTTTTGAAAGGTTATGTATTGTTATTTTCGCTTCCATTTACAATTTCTCTTACCTACTTTCAGTAGAAATTGTTATTCCCTTAGGGAGTGACATTTCTCTCACACATTAGGAGAGTTTTTTCAAGAATACAGCATTTTCGGTTTTAGGGAGCCACGCCTACTTTTACGTCACTTTCTCTTGCAATTTCTACTCCCTGAAATTCAAGAATAAGAAGTGGTTTAGGAAATTGTGTTCCATTGTACGATATTTCTATTTTAAGTGGTTCAAGTCGATTTAAAAAACCTGAGTTGAATATTTGTTCACCTGAAGATCGATTATTAGAAACATTTTACTAACAATCTTTAGAAACTAGTTGGAGCGAACATGACTGCATAATGAATTCAACTGTAATTAGAGAATGCAAATATTTTTGCAATCTGCAAGAACATATTTTAGGGTGTGCTTCAAATCATATATATTTTCTAATTGAAGCAATAGTGAACAAATATTTAAACATAAGATTTGAAATAAATATAACAAATTAATACTGTTTAGTGGACAATAAATCAATAATTTAAAAAGTTGTTTGCTTCTATCACATCCCCTAATCCTGGATTATTTCGAGTAAGTATAAAAGTTCTAAAAATTAAAAGGCTCATTTGTTTTAATCTTCTGTGTGCATAATGTTATGTAAAATTAATAAAAATGGAAAATTAAATTAAAATTATGATTACTATTATTTGGAATTTAATTATGTAGTTTTATATTGTTCTTATTGGCCTGGGTGATAAGTCACTTTTGTTATCGTTGCGCTCACTCCTTTGACGTCTACAATTCCCTACTCTAAGGGTCATTCGGATCATTAAACTCGAATTCGAGTTGAACTGGCATACGAGTTGGGACGAATGTAAACAGCAGAGTTGCTGGAATGCTAGTAAACGAATTCGTACACGCACGCCAGTAAGAAAAACCGACGTGTTGTTTAGTTGCTCGAATGCGAGAACAAGTTTTGTGAGTAGAACCAGCGTTACCAGACCTAGGGAATTTTCCCTATACCTAGGGAATTTTGAGCCAGCTTAGGGAAAAAGGGATTTTTATTCAATTCTATGAAAAATCTAGAGAATTCTTAATATTTGTAAGAATATTTTAAAAAATCAGTTTTATTTAATAAACTTTCCAAAATTGCACATATTATCTACTTGGAAATCATACTATTCGTGGAATCACTAAATTCTGTTTATGTGATTTCCCGTCGGAAACTAGTGGTGAAATTTCACGAACTGCGAATTACGTCGGGGATCTACCTGGGGTAAAGTATGTATTGGCGTCGCCCATCGGTTGATTTTTGGTTTCTAGTTTGTCTTTCTCTAACTGTTTATGTCATTCCCCGTCGATGACTAGAGTGGTGGTATTTCACAAAGGGCGAATTACGTCAGGGATCCACCTGGACTAATATATCTTAATACTTTGATATTCTTACAATTCTTACCATAAATACAACTATAAAACACTTAATATTGTTCTGAAGCTATTTTCTTGTAGCATTGTAAATTAATTACTATTAAACTGGGAATAAGCCACAATTAAAGATAAAAATACGTTTATTGACGTTTCAATTTCCACTTCGGAAATCGTTCTCAAAATACAAACAGTAAATTAAACAAATTTTGTTTTTTGTTACATAGTGAAAAATTCTTCTAATAATTTAATTTTATCTGACTCATTTATATTGACAATTCAGACATAGATTATGCATTTTAAAGTAGACGACTTTAAAATGATATTTCCAATATTGTTGATAAACAATAACGTAACATATAAAATCAGAATTTTGATGTTTGTTGAAGGTAAACTAAATTCACGAACAAATACTTACAATGTCGGGATAGTATTATGAGGTTTTTTCCTGGTTTTCCCTCATAATTTACTATGGAATCACTAACAGGAGAATTTTACTGTCATCATGTCATGTGTTTGTCTTTTTAAAGACGAATTACATGCTATGATTTTTTCTGACGGATATTCTCAAGTTAAAGTTGATTTCATGTAATCGAATGAACTATCTTATAAGTAAAGTCGTCCCAGGAGCGCAACTCAACAATATTGGCAATATCATTTTAAAGTCGTCTACTTTAAAATGCATAATGTATGTCTGAATTGTCAATATAAATGAGTCAGATAAAATTAAATTATTAGAAGAATTTTTCACTATGTAACAAAAAACAAAATTTGTTTAATTTACTGTTTGTATTTTGAGAACGATTTCCGAAGTGGAAATTGAAACGTCAATAAACGTATTTTTATCTTTAATTGTGGCTTATTCCCAGTTTAATAGTAATTAATTTACAATGCCACAAGAAAATAGCTTCAGAACAATAGAAAGCTTCAAATGGGTTTGACAGAATGAAATATTGGTTTTTCGCAGTGTTGAAATTTACATTACAAATGAAATATACACAATTAAAAGCAATAAGATATTTAAAAACTAATATTTAACGATTACGAAAAAAGAAAAAGGATATAGTTTTAAAACATTTTTTAACAGTAAATAGTAAAATGTTAGTATAAATAATAAAATTTAAAAGGCATCTGTTGCAATCTGGCAGCTGGTGGTTTGAGGGTTCTGACTCTATTGCCAAGTCTATCCGCTAACCTATCAAAGGGCAACAGAAGAAAAAATTTTCTAATAATTTATTACAACTAATAGCAAACGAAACAAATATTACTTCATTAATATTTTATATAAGGTATAAAATTGTAGAATCCATAAAATAATATGATAAAAATGTACCTTTTAAAAGCTTTATCTCTTTGTAGTTGAAGCATATCGTCGTCAACACAAGAAAAACTCGTAACTCCATTTTCCTTAATTTTTCAAGAGAGCCTAAAAACAGTAACATTTTCACGGATATCTTTTATTTGATAAAGAAGAACGATTAAACAACTGTATTTTGAGTTTTTAAGTCATATTAAGCTGAATTATATCAATTTTAATTTCAAAAACTAGCGGATATAGCTAAAAATACAGAAAATTTGGAGATACAGGTTTTTCTTCTTTTGGAATGAGACGTGCCTAGGGAGTTACGTGGCATTTTTTGTAACGCTGGATTGGAAAAAATTAATAAAAAGCATTGGTTATCGATTTATAAAAACATATTATCTGACACACATATAAAATATCCTAATAATGAAATACAGACCAATACTTTTGTAAAAGGTTTAACATAAAATTTAGTGTTACTTAAGTACCTACGTTAGAAATGAAAAATAGCCTCACTTTTCAACAACAATAAATAAAATTTTAATTTAAAATAATATCGCATACATATGTACAAAAACAAGTGTTGTACAACAGTGATGTGATAGGACTTAAAATACCAATGTTAGTGAGGGAGATTCTCATAAAATGAGTGGTAATCGAAATCAAGGGTATTTTTTAAATACTGCAAATGTTCGAATTTGTCTTTTTTTAATGGTATTCTATTTGTGTAAAGCTTCGGCAGATCTGCGAAATTCTTGGGTATCATATTCTAATTTATTCAACAAGGCAGTTCAATCCAGTTTTCACCAAATCCCAACTTGTAATGAATACCTTGTGGTGAATATTTTGTAGCTCTAATATTGGTCACAACTGCACCCTTTTTTTACCCGGTCGGATTCTGCTTACATAGTTTACTGCTCTGAAGTCCTTAAAAAATCATGGTATAGTCGAGTTACTACAAACGGATTTTCCTTTTGCATATTTGTGTGCAATCACCGGGCACATTAATATCGCATCCTCTCAATTGCACTGTGCATCATGTCGGGATGTGCCTTTTCTCAAGGTATTTTTATATAACTGTTACCTTCTGCTTTAAACAGAAGTTTAAAATTGCATTAGCTAGAGTAACATTACGATTTTGGTAAGTACATCCATCGCTAAAAAGAATTATTTCACGTACGTTTTCCTCAAGACAACTCCCTTCATTATATTTTTCTAAAATACTTACGATCGCACTAGCAAATTCGGCACTGGTAAGATTCCCCTCCGACTCATCCAAAGAAAACAATGTCCTTGTTTTGTGTGTAAGTTATAGAATGTGAAATTGTGGATTGTCAACTTTTTTATATAATATAGGGAAGAAACATTGGTCTTAGGACATACAAGGATTGCCTGTAAATATATTGTCAATACAATGCTTTCACTGTTTTTATCTTTAATTTTCTCAACTCTTGCCTCTTGTTTTTTCAACTGATGTTCCCTAAATGTTTCTTGGTCAAGATTTCCTGTTTTAAAAGAGACACATATTTCACACAAATATTTTTTTGCTCTATACAAAGTCAACCTCTTTTCCAGAAAAGCGTTTTTCAAAAAGAAAAAAAGATAGACTGTTAATTCGTTTTTTTAGGTACCATTCGTTTTTGTAAACATGGTGAAGTTGACATTTGCTTTGCCATAATGGTTCTAGATATAATTTACTAGTTTATTGCCTTCAATAATGCGATTCGATTTTCGGCAGGCTATCTAAAAAATTATAAAGATTGTCCAGCTCCTTCTTGTGAAGTCCTTTAGGCGCTTGTTGTGGTTCATTATACAAATTGTCTGTAATAGCAGAATTATCTTCTTGTTTGCAATTCATAACAAACCAATCTTTAAGCCCCAGAGTTGACAAAAACATTTTTTTGCATACCCTTCGTTTATCTTCTCCAATTTTCAAATAATATTTTAATGTCTTAGACCTCCGTAATACATCTTCATTTTTTCTATCCCTCTTCCGTTTTGGTGCTTCAAATACTACCAACGTTTTGATATAAATTCTCTTTTCTGCCCATGTACATGTCCAGAACTTATTAAAAGCATGTTCCAAAACAACAAATCCCTCCAAAACAACAAATCAAATCAACGGCAATAATCACGTAACTGACTTAACCGAAAATGCGCGGAGTTACGTGTTTTACAAATATAATTTTTTGACCAGGGAGATACCTGCTTTTCTAGTAAACATTTTAAAATTAGAAATCTACATTTAAATGACGTATTATTTGTCGGATGGCTAGAATAGGCGATTTGCTAATAGATGGCAGTAAAATCTCATTTTAAGTAAAGATTGTAATTAACCGGTTTTCTTGTGTCGACGACGATATAACATATACAGTATAACAACATGGCAACACTGCCAACGCAATATTTCGTTCTATGAAATTTAATTGACAGCTAATTTGAGGCTAACTTCAATGGGACCAAATGTGAAAATCGTCCAAATATCCAATAAATTACGCTGAAGCAGAGAACTACGAACGCACTGAAGTTTGTTGTGCACGCACAGCACAGTACAATGGACCACAGGAGTGATGACGTAGATTTGATTGACATCTGCCAGTTTCACTTTCCAAACAAACCTTATTTAGTGTGGATAATTTGTATTTTTCGTTATTTTTTCATTTATTTTATAGAATCTTTCCGCTTTTTGCAATATTTAAGTATTCTAATAGTTACTACAACAATTTTACAAGGTTGTGTAAATAATAAAGCACATTGTTTTATGCTACTAGGAATAAAATGAAAGTATCAATAAAGTAAGGTTAAAATTTCTTTAATTAAACTTTTAAACCATATTTCATAGAAATAGAACTCTGAATTATGACGGTATTATCGTAAAAACACTATACTTACAAGAAAAAGCAGCAGAGGAAGCAAAATGTTAACTTTATAGGAATTTAAAAGTCTTGAGATTTGACATTTCAACGTTTGTTTGGAAAGTAATAATGACATGTGACGTCACACTCCTGCGGTCCATTCGGTGACAATAGATAGACAATACATACTGTATTTTTGTATTGTTGTGGGTATTGTGAATTTGTGTTTCTGTTTATGCGACTACATGTATATTCCTTGATTGATATGTAAACCAGTGTAAACTATATCACCAAACAAAATAAAAGTCATGTTTAGTCAAACTCAAATAAAACAAGAAGTTTGTGAGAGAACTTGCAAAGTAGAAATTAATGATGAAGTTCTACAGGATAACCTTAAAATTGAAATTAAAGAGGAACCTAAAAGGGAAAGTGCATACGATACATTTGATTATTTAGATGTTAAGAAATGTCCTATAAAAGCTGAAATAGAACAAGATGATGGTAAGTAAAGAATATTCATTTTTATCCTCTAATACTAGGTTGTGGATCTTAAATGTAACTTAATTAGAAATTATGATACAAAAGACATAAAATATGTTGGGTAAATTTATTGGGGTTTAAAAGTTAGGGTAGGCCATTTATTTCAAGTGGCTGGATTTAATATAAAATTCAAAGATGCTTTGGAATGATTGTTATCAATTACTTTTGATACCCACATTTTATTCAAATTTAAAATTAGTTCAGGAATTGTAATCAAAACAAAGGTTCTCAGGTATTTTCTATTGAAAGATTTGTATAAAACAAGAAGTAAATGAAGAATTTTCTGTTTAATCTATGGCCTTATGAAAGTCAACATATTTTATAGTAGGTATGTTGTCTTAAGATAAGTTAAATGCTTGGGCAGAAGTTCTTGCATGGCCAGAGAGATCACCTTATCTAACACTCTAAAGTTTTATGTGGGAGTTATTAAAAATAAAGTGATTGTTAACAAACTAAATAATGTGAAAGAGCCATTAGGCTTATGAGACTGGGAATTCTTAATTTACCAGCATAGTACCAAAGAATATAGACTATATTCTTTGATAGTACAATCTAGAAAATGTTTGATTCATGAAAAAAAATATCACTGTTTGTAGAAGTCACAGAAATCAGCACTGTTACAATACTAGACGATTGATGTTCTTTTTCATGAATCAATATATTATATTATACCAGCATGATGGCATTTGAAAAGATGTCAAAATAGATTACAATATTAAAAAATAAAATATTCTGCCTAAAAATATTAGAAACTTACCTTAAAATAAAATTACACAAATACAGGCTGTGCCAAACCTCTGGCTTTTTTTTATTACAGCTAAACTATGGTATATAAAAATGTTTTAAACAAAACTGATGTATATAAAAAATGTCGAAGTATAATTTAAAATTATTTTCAATTATATGTGGTCAGTCAGAACAACGGATTTAACCGAAGTTGTGTTTTTCAAATGGAATACCCTGTATATGAAACCATTTTTGAATGTATTTTTTAAAAATATGAAGAGTTTGTTTGTGGTTTTATAGGCCTAAAGTTATTGATTTTTGAAATATTTACACTTTAATTGAGAAAAATAGTAATATTTAAAGGGCTGTGGATAAGGTTCCAAAGTAATAAAAATTGAGGGTTACCCAATTTACTAACAAAAACCATAATCATGATTTATTTTATAAGTTTATATTGTTCTGAAGCAGTGGCGGCTCGTGGCTTAAGAGACAAGGTCGGCAAGGTATTTTTTGTATCCTCAGATAGGTATACCGTCTAATAAAGACTTCAATCATCATAGGAGATTTTTTGTTTTCTTGTTTTTTTTTGTTTTTTCCTATAAATTTAGAGCATAAACATGTTTATAAATTAACTCTAGTTTACGTTGTTTTTAAGTAGCAAAATGGGTAATAATGTCATCGTAAAATTTATTAGAGTTTTGGAGAGATTTTAAAAGTTTTTTTTCTATTGACATTTGAGACAAGCTTGACATTCTCTCTTGTTTCATGGCATTTCGACAATATGTTTTGATTCTTCTGAGGCAAGAGAAATGTCGTTCATTTGAGGCAGACGTTGGTGGAAATGAGAGAATTAATGACAATAATTTATTAATTTCGGTAACAGTTTGTTGTAATGAATTGCAGTATATAAAATTATATATATATATATATATATATATATATATATATATATATATATATATATATATCTTGTAACTTATCCCATCTTCGGAAAATATTTGGATCAGCATATAAAACTTTTAATTCATTTTCTAATTTTATTTTATTAAAGAATGATGGATAATTTTTAATTAACCTGTCTAATAAATATCTTGGAAATTCTTTGGCGTAACTTTTAAATTTTGAATCATCAAAGAGGTAAAAAATTTGCAAATCTTCAAAATTCGAAAAACGAGTATCTATTTGCATAATAATAGTATCCAAAATTTCAAAATATACCCGTTTTTCGAGATCTGTTTCTGTGTCATGCCTTTGTCTTTTTTTTGGAGTTCGGAAATATCAAGCGAGTCCAAAACGTCACTGCGTATATACTGAAAATTACTATCATTACGAAAATCTCTGAGATTTTGCACCAGTCTTGTTATTCTATTTTTGGAATGAATAATGTCAGTTAACTGTTTTTGAACAACATTGAATATCAAATCGGTTTGGGTAAACACTTTCTTAAAAATATTTAAAAGTATGTTAAAAGAGTAATCATTTAATAAAGTTTTCAAACCGATTGCTTCACGGATCGAGATATCATCACTTTCAAAATCGTCACATTCAATAATAAAATCAAAAACTTCCAAAAGCTGTTCACGAAAATCTGCTACAGTGAAAACTAACCGAGATTTAAAATTCCATCGCGTCTGACAAACTGTTGGCATTTTTTTCGAAACAAACCGTTCTAAAACATTAGTCCGTTTAGGCGATCTTGATAAAAATGAAGCAAATCCGCTTAAACTGGCAAAAAAAGACGACATTCTTTAATTTTTTTACATATATTCTGCAAAACTAAATTCATTCTATGCGCATGATAGTGAGTAAATAAAGCTTGCGATGCAATAGTTTTAACTTTTGCCTGGAGTCCATTTAATTCACCAGACATCACGGCAGCGCCGTCATAAGTTTGTCCTAGCAATTTATTTTTGATATCAAAAAATTTTAATCTGTCCTTTAAAACACCAAAAATATATTCTGCCTTATGACTTTTACTCACGTCTGTAAAACCTAAAAACCTCTCATAGATATTACCACGTAACGCGTATCGAACAACAATTGATAATTGTGAATGACATGATATGTCGGTAGTTTCATCTACTTCTAGTAAAAAGCAAATGGTTTCCTGAATCTCAGATTCAATAACGTTACTCAAAATGTAACTAATTGATTCTATTAATTCATTCTGGATTGTTTAGATACACCGCTAAATGTCTTCGAATCAGAAAGTAAATTAGAAAACTCCAAATCGTATTTCTTAAAAAACATTTTTATTAGTTCTCTATAATTACCTTGATTTAACGAATGCTCCGATTCATCGTGTCCCCTAAAAGATAATTCCTGTCAACTTAAAAAAAATTACAATATCAATTAAACAACGTAAAACTGCGTGATTATTTTTTACAATTTCGTTATGTTTAATAGCATTTTCACGTTGGGCATTATCTAATGAAACATAGATATTTTGTTTTCCAAATAAATCTAATTTAATCTGGCTGTAAGTATGATCTTTCGAAATATCATGTTTATGTAAAGCCCTAAATAATTCATTTATATTATCGTAACCAGATTCACACCACGGATTTTGATGTTTGCCCCTATTTGTCGAAAATAAAATGCAAGGCCAACGGAAAAGTTTGTTTTTTATTTCACTCCGGTAAGCCATGAGTACTTGCTGTACCAATTATCTGAAAATGATCTATTACTTCCCTTACCCGCAATAATATTTATAAGCCGGGACATTTTAGACAAAGGACGCCCTTATTTTTAATAACAATTTGTTCTTCGTATAGAATAGATGAAAACCCAATATTCAAAATATAATTTACAATATCAGACTTATCAATACTTACAGTTTCTCCCATGGCTTGCGTTTTTTAGGTTAATTTACCTGAATTTGTTTACACTTTAATTAAAAAAAAACTTCTATGTCAAAAAACCCTTTAACCTTTAACTATTTACGGCAGACGTAACATATCACAGTATTACTTTAGAAAATAAAAATAAATCACAAAAAGAAAGGCTAGTTCGTGCACTGAATATCACTTCACTTTACTACTTACGTTCTTATATGAAATAACATTTCATCCCGCGCTCGCAATGTACAGTTCGCGACCAATCATCAATCCAAATGAAACATAGGCAAATTTAAATTTGCCGTACTTGGTAATTAAGTTCATATGGAAAGAAATGTATACCGGGTGGTGAATCGTCAAACGGACCATAGGAAACTCAATGAGAAATTTTAAATTGTTGAATTGCTGCTTCCCTAATTATTTTAGATCAAAAGTCATAAAAAACTATTTGTAGAGGACTAAAATCTGAATTAAAAACAAATGTTAAAACCGTTCTACGACTCAAATGTACTTAAAAATTTTGCAAAAATATAATACATTTTTCAGGCCACCCCTAAAAGTTAGGCCACACGTAATGCAAGAATATATATTAGGACGTTTGTGTTTTATCATATTTATGTCAGATGTTTGACAATTTGAATTGTCAATTTTTTTATTTTATGATTAAATTATAAACAATGAATTTTACTAACTACTACTACTAATGAACATTATTACTTTGTGAACAATAAATTATATTGTTTACAAATCGATCAATATAATGAAATGTACTCAGTTGACGAAAAATCGCATAATGTTGTATTCAGGCAATATAATAGCGCGAACCTTTTCCTGCCACTACCGGATCTTTATTTAACGTAAGATATTCTAATTCACTAAAATTTAATTCCATGTTAAGTTATACAACAATTCAATGAATTCCAATATACTGTTACTGTGATCTTTATTCCTAATAATAATATATAATAATTTCTAAACATCAAACTATAACAAATGTTATAATAAAACATGAATAAAACATTTTTATTATTGCTTTTTTCTTCTCAACTGAGTACATTTTTTAATCAACTTAATTTTTTTTAACAATAAATCACAAAATTTTGGCCATTTAAATCATAGATAAATGTAATATAATTGATTTAAATATTGTCAAATATCAGAAACAATAATATGACAAAACGCAACACGTAATACACATATTTTCACAGAAAAATGTATTATATTTTAGCAAAATTTTGGAATACGTTTAAGTCGTAGAATAATTTTAACAGTTTTTTTCGATACATATTTGAGTCCTCTACAAATAGTTTCCCATGGCTTTTGGTGTAAAATAATTAGGGAAGCAGGAATTCAACAATTTAGAATTTCCCATTGAGTTTCCTATGGTCCGTTTGACGA